GAAATTATTTGCACTCCCCCCCAAAGGCATTTGGCACCCCGCAAATTACATATATTTTGATTTGATAGTTTCATATTTGATTATTCTTACTACTAAATTTGTAAAATTACCAATATTATGGTCTCAGATCTCGCCATGCAGGCCTAGAAAACAAATTTTGTTAAACTTTTTCCTTGGCCTTTCCGGTCGTTGCCACCACGCCCCGGCCAAAGCAAGCAGCAGCAATCAATGCGCAAAGCATGTAATTTTTTAAGTAAAGTGCATACCAGGATGCATTCTATGCAAACTCTACGCCGAAGATGCGCCGATATTACCTATAGATAGTATTGTAATGTGCCAAACTCACACCGAAGATCTTCAGCGTATTGCACTTAGAATGCACCCTGGCGTGCATATTTTCTCAACAAATATCGGTTTTACACCAATTCTGATTTTCCACCAATAAGGCAAAAATCGGCCCGATACCGCATTTTGGTCCTCTGAATCCCCTCATATTCAACAGACATGACTTACTCATTATTTGTGACTTGTTCTGAGTCACTATCACTTGCACTACTGGAATCAGAGCTACTTGACGTGTCCACATTCTTTTTCCCTTTCTTTCTAAGAACAGGCAAATTCTCATTATCATCATCGGATCCCGAATCTCCAACTTCTGTAACTTTTTCCAACATCTCTTCCTTCGGTTGACCTTTAAACGTCAATTCAACTTGGTTGTTATAATGAAATAAATTGCTCGAATTTGAACCCCCTCTTAGTCGGCGCTTTGGAGGCATTTTGCCCCTTTAAAGCGAGCTTTTGTGCAATGATTTTTTGTAGAAAAAAGAAGAAGTGCTCCGGTATTGAACAATTTATATCTGGAGATGTTTTGACAACAAGAACGCATTCATTATTGCATATTATTAACGATGCTGTCAGCAAAACACTTAAAATCTGCCGCCATATTGACTGTCAGTCAATGACTGGGGTACTAGAAGTATATGAAATGGCGGAAAATTATTTTAATTTACTGTAAATGGTTTTAAAATATTAAATATGTTATATTAAACATCAGTTGGGAAAATAATAAATGGATAAATTATGCAACAAAAGAACATAAAAACTGTACAGTTTATACAGTAATACAGTATATTATCATATTTATAATTGACCACTTCTGAACAGTCAATTTAGTGTCAATTTCTCTGAGAATTATCATTGAATATTTATGATTCCATGTCATGCTAAACAAATAACTGTCGGACAATAACCAGCTGTTCCGTTGCTGAAACACACTGAATACAAAGATCAAACTATGGCTTCGACTTTATATCGCTGGTTTCATTTTGTGCGAAATTTTAGACATTTTCTGTGCCTACTAGGAATTGTATTGTCAGTTTATGCGCTATATGTCGAAGTCAAGAAAATGCAAGATAAATCGTTTACCGCAATGTGCGATATCAACGCTAAAATGAGTTGTTCTAAGGTGTTTTCATCCAAGTAAGTGAATAATTAAATTCTTATGTTATTAATAAAATATATGTCGATACTTTCATAATTAGGGCAATTCTTTAAAACTTTTAAAAATTTAGGTGAATTTAACAGTGTATGATGTGTATCATATTGAAAACATAATGTTACAGCTATTAGCTGATGTGCACATTTTAAATATTTAAATGCTGATGTGTACATTTACTATAGCAATATACTCCCGCTTGCAATGAATATATTTCATGGATATTCACGTGGAAACAGCAGCTAGTCAATTTAATGACAGGGGTGCTGGGGGCATTTAAAAATGGCACTTATTCCTGATCCATAACGTTTGTTAAAATTTTGCTATACGTAACTAGATTACTTGTAGCCAATATAGTTCGTTTTGGGCAATGGGGGCAGCTGACCCCACTGCCCCATGGCTCCGGCACCCCTGGTCAATGAACTGGCTGAAATTGACGGATTCTTTGTTTGCACCCATAGGGAAGAATGTTGAAAAGGTGTGTAATTAGTCAAAGGCTGTTGTGAAGCGTCTCAAAAGTGACGGGGCCTTGTCAAATTAGCATACCCCATGGGTGGATTTACCGGGAGGGGGTGTTAGGAGGGGGTAAAACCCCCTAGAATCTCTCCAACCCCTCTTATAAAGTGTTCAACCCCACCAAAATTTTGCTTCACCCCTCCTATTTCGTGTGAAAATCTTTAACCCTAATGTCTAACCCCCGTCGAAGCTCACTTGGTGGTGCCACTTGCACCCATTAGAACAACGGTTTTCAACTTGGGGGACATGTCCCCGAGAGGGGACATTTGGCAAATTCCTAGGGGACACAAACTGGTCTAGGACTGAGAAAACAATAGTTGAATACAATAGTTTGTACTATAAACATGTTTGCTTGACTTTCTATCTATTATTTAAAATTTAAATCATTTACTATTTTACTGACTATTTCGAAATTCGTGTTTTTGATAGACTTCAATTTCTGTTCAGGGGACGTGGTAATTCAATCATGTGAAATCGGGGACACATGAGAAAACCAGTTGAAAACCGTTGCATTAGAAGTTTTTCAAAGCCTCCTTTAAACAATATGAAAATTTGCCCTTGGTTGGCATACCCAGTATAACACTCCTATGCATGCTTTAAATAGTAGTACATGGTGACAATGATGCATTTTACCTAACAGATATGGTACAGGATTTGGTCTGGTTGAGCCATTGTTTGGTAAAGACTCTGTATTCAATATCCCAAACAGTATTTATGGCATTGCTTTCTATATCTTTGTTTTTATCCTTGGTAAGTTAAAGTTTGTCTTCGCTCTCCCCTTGAATGTAAAATCGTCTGGCATTAGAGTAAAATAATAAATTAAAGTAGGGTGCATTGCAATGCAAGTACGCAACTTAACCCATTAAGCACCAGCACTCTCCCTTTGATGAGTAAAATTATCTAGTGTTAGACAGTAAAATAGTCTGGCATTAGACAGAATAAAATAAGAAGTAGGGCACATTGGGGTGCAATGCAACTTAATGGGGACTGTAAAGTTGTGGCTTTGAAATAAATTCTCAAATTGTAAAAAACTGCAAATAATTTCTGAACAATCTGCACAAAGTCAAAGGCCTTTGTGAACCAAGGTTTCTGATCTTCCTTACATGAATTATAGGTTTCTTTGATGGAAAGGTAGTTGCTTGGATTTCCATGGTATCTTGTGTTCTTTCCTGTGTTGGTTGCGTCTACTTGGCTTACATATTGTACTATATACTAGAAGATTTTTGCGTCGTTTGCGTGTCCACCTATGCTGTGAATGCCTTACTCTTGATTTTGAGCATATATCATCTGGTACAACTACCGGCAACAGGGAAAGCACATGGCGACTGAGACAAATGACCTATACACTGGGTTTATAAAAAAACTACACAGTTCTAAAATGTCCACTAAATGCAAATTCTCCCAAAATTTTTGACAATTTTATGTTAGTATGGATAGTTTGGGGTTAGTACGAGTAAAATTACAATTATTTTAGTACGAGTAAAATTACTCAGAGAAATGGCTTGCACACAAAAATTTCAATTAGGGTGCAATTTTAGAAGGTATTTTACATTAAGTCCAATGCACAACCTCTAAAACTAAGACTTTTTTGCCACAGTAGGTAGCTTTTCATGACATATGTTTTAATTTTTTTGGTAAAACCTATGTCAGTAACAAATCAATCATGCATAAAACCAGTCTGAATAATACGATAAATTATTGGAGTTTTAGAGGTCGCACATAGGACTTATACATCGAATTGCCTGGTACTTTGATAGTTCACAAAACACCTTCCGAATTTGCACCCTACGAATTCAAATTGTGCTTTATACCTTGCATTTTTATGCACAAGTCATCTTCAAAGTGGTTTAATGGAAAACAGCCCTGCCGTACTGTACGTTTCAGAAGACCCCAAACTAAGGTGTCACAAATTTTGCAGAATTTTCAATTCAGTGGACATTTTAAAACTGCACTTTTTTGATACACCCTGTATAGCAATTGTTTTTCATTCTGTAACTCTAAGCAACAGTACATACATTGACACATTGTACAGGCTATTTAAATACCATAGATATCTATGTCTGACCATAACCTAAATAGCGTAAATTAAAAAACTAAAAATAAAAAATAATTGTTCAACATGTTCATTTAATATTTTACATCCTAGCTAGAATAGTCCCATTCTAAATTGGTGATAAAATTATTTGCGAGTACAGTGAAAATCCACGTAAAGAACCAATGGGTTAAGAACAACCAGTTATGCACCCAGAATATACAAGAACCAATCAGGCTGACAAATGAGACTGGTTCTTAAAAACTTGCATGTTCTAAGGGCTGATTTAATACCGTTGCAAATGCAAAAACATAATCTAGTGTTGTTTGGTACTGAATGAGGATACATTAAATTTTATCAAATTCGGAGGGTTTTAAAAGTTATTATCAGTTTCTCCCTAAGTCTAAGTAGCTATTGTATAACAACCACTTCAGTCTGACACATATAAAAATAGTGGTTCTTTTATCGGTGGGTTTTTACTGTAGCGTGTCGAGTGCTTTTTTCGTGACCAGCACGGTGCAAGGTTTAATATATCGGCTAATAGTAGTTTTGAATGCCAGGCATTTGTTTCGTTGGAGTTGTTGGTTCTTCGTTCAAGAGTCGTCCGTTTCTTGTTCGCGTGCGGCCGCTATCTTGTCAAAACAACGTGAAACGACCGACGTCCAACCAGTTTGGTGACTAAAGTCAAACAGATACATTAATACAATAATGGTATACGATCTAAAATGTAGGGAATGGTTAAACAGTCCTGGAAAACGTCTGGTAGCGCCAGCAACATCGCTGCCAGGAAACGTTTCACAAAATATTTTCGTAGGAAATTTTCTTACACCGTGCAGGAAAATTTTGCCTTCTTATCATTTCGTCAAAATTTTTTTCTTCAAGATTGGTTTAGAAACAAACTTGGAGTAGGGTTAGGGTAAGGTTAGAGTTGGTGTTTGGAGTAGGGTTAGTGTTAGTAAAACCGTTGCTTTGTTGCGTTTTGTCACTCTGAGGCCAGCGAAATAACCTCTTCCCGCAACAACAAGCCGTTGACAACTTGTCAACAAGCTGGAAACAAGCCGTGCGAACACACCCTGTTGACAAGTTGTTGGAACAGCATTGCTACAAGTCTGCTACAGGTTTGTTACAACTCATGCGTTTTTACGTATGTAGATTAAGCCTAGGTTTATACCTTGCTCCGCATCCGCGGCCGGTATCACCATCAAAGAACTCGTAAAACAAAACTAAATCTTTCCAGTTTTCATCCACGGCATATCGCTCATCATCCCCATGACAAGGTCGACGCCCACTTTCATCCGGCAAGAAGATCTGAGTGAGTCGGTTTCGTATCTCCGCACTGACATCACGAAGTCGTTTGAGGTTCCCTGATCCCGTGGGGCATTCGACCTTAAATTGATCTCCGAAGAAATAGTCGTATCTCTCTAAGCACTCGACCAGGAGAAAGTTTACTAGAGAAAGTAGTACATGCAAAAGCATGGTTATTAATTATTTATACTGGATAGCTCTGAGCTGTTCTGCATATAAACGCATCAGTTATTGTTCCAGTGTTACTATAGTCTACAGACTGATTGGAAAAATGGATGTCATTCTTTTTTCTCCCGAAAGTAATTTCAACCGAGGTTGTAATAAGACCTACCACACAGCCATATAGGACCACGCCAGTTACTATTACCACCAAACATAAAAGTATTAGACTCGGCAGCGACATATTCCACTCGATGAATGACGCCTTCCACGTTCACTTCAAATGGATGATCCTTATGGTACCGCGATAGGGCTCTTATTCCGTACGGGGAAAGAAACTCGTCTTCGTCCAGTAAATATTTGAGCACAGAGCGAAGTTTCTCTGGTGAGGGTATGGCAAGCAAGTGATGGTATTTCGAAACGCCGTCTACATTCATGTAAGACACCTGACAAGGAAAACAAATTAAGGTGGCTCAAGGCTGTTCACATGAGCCGAGCCAGCCCGGCCAACTGGGATGAATCGTGTTTATATGAATTTTTTTCCAATTTCCAGACAAGGACGTGTTCATTGCTTTCGTGGGACTTTTCCCACTTTATTTCAGGCTACGAACGGTACTTTGCCCTAAAAACATAAATATTTTGCCTGTGGGCTCCCAAAGCCTGGGGCCCGGGGAAAATTGCTTTACCTTCGATTTTTTCTGCCAACCTCAAAAATGTTCTGGGACCAATGGTCCCGTGATCCGCTATATTATGCAGCACTGATGAAACCAAACGTTTTTCATTCTACGAACCTCATTCCTCAAATCCTCTCTATGCTTCAAGAACCAATCCATTCTTTTCTTAAACCCAGGAAGCTTATCCACATATTCATCATTAATAACCAGACATGCGTACATTGGTATAAGACCCACCATGGATCTAACACGCAGCTTGCATTCACGTCTCTCATCAAATCTAAACACGTGAAAAACGTGCAAATTGTTATACGCTGCACGGCTGCTGGGGCTTGGGTGGCGCAATGGACCATTCCCCAATTATCCAAAATTTTGAACAAGTCTAGACAAAAATTTCATCACAGCTTGAAAGAGCATCACAAAATTAGTAATATTCCAAAGTTTCGTTGCAAAATGTTGTAAAATGCGGATAATATTGCCTTGCGATTTTCAGTCATTTTAGATTACAAACGGGAAATGGTTACCACTTCTGTGCGTAATACAAAATGACTGAAAATTGCAAATTTCGCAAGGCTATATTATCCGCATTTTACAACATTTTGCAACGAAACTTTGGAATATTACTAATTTTGTGATGCTCTTTCAAGCTGTGATGAAATTTTTGTTTAGGCTAGTTAAGATCAAAATTTTGGAAAAGTGTCTAGACTTGTTGAGATCAAAATTTTGGTTAATTGGGGGAATGGTCCATTCTCAGAGCAAGCTCCTTATTTTGCCCAATGCCCACCCAGTTATATATTATCTTGGGTAAGGTATTTGGTTAGACCAACCTGCTTGAGTAGATTTGCCCTCCTGCATCAATTCTCTGAGTACCACCTACCTCAGTTGATCATAGTAGAATCCGTCTTCTTCATCCCATAATCCTTTGTGGTTCATCGCGTCAGAGATGTCGACAAAATGTTCAAAGAACTTGGAGGCCATGTCTTCATAACTGGGGTCCTTCCATACCGCCAGTTCCAATGCGATGGAAAGCATGACAGTACAATAGAATGCCATCCAAGCAGTACCGTCAGCCTGTGATGAACAAAATACCTTAAAAACTAACTTTATTTGTACTGATAGCTCTATCAGTTTTAAACTGTTCTTCTTAGAGATCCAGAAAATGTGACCCCTCATTAGTGCAGTATTACTACAGGAGGAAACCTAAACTAAACTAGACAGGTTTGGCAGCATGGGACGGCCATCGCTCAAAAAGTGGAAGATTTTAAAATATTTTTCAGGTATAGTTCAACCACGGCAGCTTAATGAAGATTTTGTAAAATTCTACCCACACTTGATCACCACGTTTAAAATACTTTTCAGGTAGTTGAGACACAAACCACGGCAGTTTATTATTGAATACTATCTATATTTGGCCCCTACACGTTTGAGATAATTGCAGGCAGTTCAGACAAACCACGGCAACTTACTACACTACACTTAACCCCAATGTTTGAAATAAGAGTTACAGACCTGTTCAAGATAGCCACCAGTGGGAAGTGGTTTGGAGCGATCAAACACACCTAAAGAATATTTCAGGAATAATACTAACACTGACTCTGTTTAACACACAAAGACTTATTATCAACGTGCAGCAATGCAAAATTAAACTCATGCAATCTAAGAAATATACCAGCAAGTTTTTACCTATGTTATCTAGACCAAGAAATCCTCCACCAAAAATATTTCTCCCGTTTGGATCTTTACGATTCACCCACCTAGGAAATGTCCACATTTTAATCCTTTACCGTAAACTCAACTTTATTTATACTGAATAGCTCTATCAGCTCCAAACTGTTCTCCCAGAGGTCCAGTGAGGGTTGTGCTAAATTGGACTATAGTCTTACTGCAGGAGGAAACCTAAACTAAACTAATTTTATTTATAATGGGACAAATGGGTAGCTCCATCAGTTCCAAGCTGTTCTCCCTAGAGGTCCAACAAGGGTTGTGCCAAATTATTGGGGGTGGTGGAGTGGGGGTTTGTGGAAGTGAGGTAGTGTTCTGCCAATCTTATACTATATTATCAAAAGTTCAAAACTCACCATGTAAAATTCAAGAGAAGTTTTTGGAAACACCGCGCTAGAAATAGGTCATCCCTGCTACCTTTTGGTCCTGACATCTTGTAGACACACAGGCAGGCCCACGCATGGACAGGGGGGTTCACGTCGCTCAACGCAAACTCGTACGCAGGCAACTGACCGTTAGGAGACATGTACCATTCACGGAGGAATAAGAGTAGCTGAGATTTGGCGTACTCTGGGTCGATCTTAGCCATAGGAACCATGTGAAAGGCCAGATCCCACGATGCGTACTAGAAGCGTAGAAGAACACAATTTGATGTTTACTAAAAGTTTTGCAAGTAATCGTCATTGTAAAGGATGAAAACGAAACTAAATTATCTTTATTTATAGTGAAAGTTCTATCAGTTTTAAAATTCTACCTGGAGATTCAGTGAAGTCCATCACTTATTGACCCAGTGTCACTGCAGGAAACTTAAACTAAACTAACTTTATTTGTACTGGTTAGTTCTAAACTTTTCTTCCTCTATATTTAGTAAAGGTCATCCCTTATTGGTCCAATGTTACTACTACAGGAAGAAACCTAAACTGAACTAACTTTATTTATAAAGGATAGCTCTATCTGTTCTAAACTGTACAAGGTCCGGTAAGTATCTCTTAGCAGTCCAGTGTTACTACAGGAGATAGCTCAATCAGTTCTAAACTGTCCAGTAAGAGTCGTCTCTTATTGGTCCAGCCATTTCTTGAGTAGGACATGTAAACTAAACTAAATTTATTGATACTGGATAGCTCAATCAATTCCAATTAGTTCGTGGCTGTGCTAATGAATTAAAAATATTAAGGTGGGATAAAAACGCCAAAACTTTATGGCATGCGTATATTCTAAAAAGTATCCACCCTTACCCATGGATACTCCCACTTGTCGGGCATTGATATGATATCTCTGTTGAACAGATGCCTCCACTCAGGCTCAGAGTTACGCCCATGTGCCCGACTTTCAGGTGGTGCGGGTTGCTCCGGATCTCCAGCCAGCCAGTCCTTAATGATGTAATGATAAAATTGCTTGGTCCAGAGTAATCCTGCATAGGACTGTCGTGCAACAAGTTTTTCTTCGCCTGTCAGTTCATCTGAAATACCAAACGATTTATTGGGAAAGCGCATTTGTAGTATTTTATGAACTATCTGAAAATGATTTGAACAGTGAGCTCTCTCTATATATATCAGGGTTCGTAGTCTCCAAGACCAAAAAAATTTCAAAGATTTTTTCTGCCTATTTTCAAAGACTTTTCAAAGCCCTTGGAGAGCAATCAGCTGTCGAAAAATTGCGAGTGTAAGCACCATTTTTACTCGGTAATTAGTCCCGTCAAATCACATCCTAAAATGCGCATTTTCGTCGATATTTGCGAAAATCTTGCTTCAATCAATGTTATCCAATAATAATCATGAAAGATATTAGATAACATTGATATCGACGGAACTAGATTCTGTTCCGAAATATCACATACTCGAACCGACCAGACCGCGTAGCCGGCAGAGCATTGGGCTAGCATTCCAAAGGTCGTAGGTTCGATTCCCACCGTGGTCAGGCATATTTTTCAAGCTTGGCCGGTCTGGATATACACTCAGAGTAACATCACAAGCATCATACTCACCTGAGTACATTACACCAACACAGAAAAAATCATGACAATAAAATTTGTTACCTGATATCACTCCGCTATAAAACTGGTCTGCTTCATTCTTCCTACTTTCAAAAATCTTCTCAAAATCTTCTCCGAAAGGCTTCTCCGATGCGTCCTTGGCAATCGTGAGCCTAACTCTGAGCACGCGTTCCTCACCCCCCTGGATCTCTAACACGTGATGTGCAGCGACCTTGGTGCCTTTCTTCTTAGGGCTGACTGCCTCGCCCTCACCGTTGATGACGTAGCGATGAAAAGCATCCTTGGTGTAGGGGGTGTATTGTGAAGCACCGTATAGTTTCTTAAAGGAAATGTAAGAAAGTCGGGATTTTATTGCATGAATAATCGGTGATTCCGATTTTTTCGAATCGGTCTAATACAATCCAAAATATACTTTATTGTCGATTTCAAATCACTTTTCAACGCGCGGTTCCCAAGTTCGTTGCAAACTTACCAATTACGTTTCCAAGTTCGAAAATTGGGCGCGAACTTCGCAACAAAGTTCGCAAGTTCATTTCAATGTTTGATCTATTGTAAACAAATGTTCATAGTTCAAGTTGAAATTAACAATTCAATGGAAAGTTCTTGGTCCAGTGGTCTACCAAGAAGGTTTGTATTTCATTGAATTGGTTATTATTATTGAGTATGAACATTTGTTTGCAAACGAAGTTCAAACATTGAAATGAACTTGCGAACTTTGTTGCGAAGTTCGCGCCCAATTTTCGAACTTGGAAACGTAATTGGCAAGATTGCAAAGAAACTTGGGAACCGCGCATTGAAAAGTGACTTGAAATCGACAATGAATTTAAACTATATTGTATAAAGTCGTTATAATACAATATCGATAATATCGGCAATAAAAATACCGATAGTTTGAATTTAGCGCCGATATCCGATACGCCTGACTGAATAATATGTCAAAGCATGATAAACCTACCTCACTGTTAGTTTCATTTTCAGTAAAAAGCAATACTGCTTCTTTCCCTTCTTCGGATCCCTCAAAGTCACATACAAATTCCTCCAACGTATCATGCCTTGTCCTTACACGTCCCTCACCGTCCTGTCCTATCCTAGCCTTCATGGTACATCCCTCGTGGGTACAACCCCAGATCCAGGTGTTTCTAAACCATAGCGTGGGTAGGACGTGGATCGTGGCTGCTTCCGAACCACGGTTACTGATGGTGACCTTGATAAGGACATCATTTGGTGCGTTTTTTGCATATTCAGCCGTAACGTCCCAGTATTTGCCCTCGTCGAATACGCCTAAGGGTAGAAAGCAATTAGCAATTCCCATTATAGACTAATTTTAAAGTGCCTATATCATGGTTTTGGAGTTTGCATATCTCGAAAGTTTAGGGTATTTTAAGACACTTTGCAATATATATTGTTATTGAAAAATTTCATCTTGATGGATTTATTAGCTCTTAAAGTTACCGGACATGACGTCAAAAGGAGAATTGCAAATCAGTTTTCCTTTGTATCATTGCAACAAAATTCTCCTTTTGATGTCATGTCCGGTAACTTTAAGAGCTAATAAATCCATCAAGATGAAATTTTTCAATAACAAAATATATTGCAAAGTGTCTTCAAATACCCTAAACGTTCGAGATATGCAAACTCCAAAACCATGATATAGGCACTTTAAAATTTACAGTGCAATAACACTTGCAACTATCTTTAGGAACCTGTTTGGTATACTGTCCAAACCAGCTGACTTCTTATCGTCTAATGTAGTCAGCAGTTGGATAAACTGTGTTAATGGAGGGAGTTTTGTGAGAGAAAGATTTATCAGTTGGTTTAAAATAAAATACTGGATCACGCACAGGAGCAGGAATATCGGAAGCAAGTTTTTCACCAATAGCTGAGAAGTAGCTGTTAAATGTTTCGGCTATTTCTTCAGGCGCAGTTATTTCTCGCTCTTCAAAATCTAATTGTGTTATCTTTTTAGTTTTGCTTACATTTCTAGAGCTTAGTTCATTTATAAGGTTCCATGCTTTTTTTCATGTTGCCTTTATTTCGATTCAAGATTATTCTTATAATAAGCTTGTTTAGTTTTTTTAAATTTCATTATTAATGTGATTTCGAATTTGTTGATATTGATGGATTTTAGGATCATTGGATGTAACAGCTTTTTTAGGTAATCTTGGTTAAATATCTGGCATCTTAAATCTTTTGTAATCATGTGGAGATTTTCTATTTCTAATTCTCCTGGATCTAAGTGGTGCGTGCTTATTTATGGTTTTCATGAGCATTTTTTCCAGACATCAAACATTTTGTTAGGGTCCTGGGAGCAATAGACACTATCCCAATGGTTTAGTTCAAGATCGCTTAGAAACAATTCTCTGTTGAAGTTCTTCATTGTTCCAGCATCTATCATTCTGGGGCCCCCTCGTTAGTCTTGCGTATCATATATATTAATGAATGGTCACTAATAGATACGTGTATGACACCAGACTTCACAATATTTATATGTGTATTGGTTAGGCATAAATCGATCAGGGTGCTAGATGTAGCAGTAATTCTTGTTGGCTCGTTTATTAATTGTTCTACATCGTATATATCAAGTATTTCTTTTACTTTATTCTTGCATGGTGACTCGGTCGTTGGGGTAAAATCAACATTTAAATCACCAAGCAGAAAATACTCTAAATTTTCAGCATCGAATGATCATTTGCTCGAATTCGGCAAAGTAACTAGTAGGTTTTTACAATAGCGGAGCTCAAAACCGTAGTTACTAAAACATGGAACGACCCACAACGGTCCACGACGACCCACAACGACCCCACGACTGCACTACGACCCCACTATGACCCACAACGACCCCACAACGACCCACAACAACCCACAACGACCGCACTACGACCCCACTACGACCCACAACGATCCACAATGACCCACAACGACCCCACAACGACCGCACTACGACCCCAAAATTACCTTCAGTTGCAATTTTGCATGACAATAAACAATATAAGTTATTGTTTGTGGATACACCACATATTTTATTATTACATGTGATCAAAATTGGCGGGAAATGCAAGACTTCCACTTGCGCATGCAGAGATTGTTGTTGGATTGTTGTGAATTTGTGGATTGTTGTGGCTGGTGTTTTGGTCGTCGTGGCTCGTTGTGGGGTCGTAGTGGGTCGTTGTGGGGTCGTCGTGGGGTCGTAGTAGGTCGTCGTGGGGTCGTAGTAGGTCGTCGTGGGGTCGTTGTGTGGATCGTAGTGGGTCATTGTGGGGTCGTTGTGGGTCCTTGTGGATCGTTGTGGGGTCGTAGTGGGTCGTTGTGGGTCCTTGTGGATCGTTGTGGGGTCGTAGTGGATCGTTGTGGGTCGTTGTGGGCTTGTAGTGGGTCGTTGTGGGTCATTCCATGTTTTAGTAAATACGAGCTCAAAACACACGTCCTTTCTCTTCGGAGAAAGGACCTGTGTTTTGAGCTCCGCTATTGTAAAAAAATTTTTCAAGAAATCTACAGCTATGGCTATTTCCACAGGTAATAGTGATGAAATATAGTACATATTGATAGAATAACGCCGTGTGTACTTAAAAATCTTGCACTGAATGGAAACAAACTTAAATGGACAAATGATCTTGAGTGATTAAAGCATTTCATCGAAGAAATATTTGGTATCAAAGGCAAATGTCTTCGTCTGGTGGTGGCTCAAGGTGCTTTAAATCGCAATGTGGCCTGTTTCAAGTAACATGGTATTTTAAGAAGCAATCTACATTACTTTTTCAAGCAAAAGTCGCCGAAGATTTGGCAGTTAAACTAAAAGAGGCAATTACAAAAGCAATCGAAGATGCTGAAAACCTTGCCAAACACAAAGATGGCGCCTCTGAAGTCGAAACCTCGAATTTCAAACACACAGGAGAATCACTCCCAAAGGAGCCAGTGTCTTGTTCCTTCCGAGAACTCACAGAGGATGTTGAACGTGTAAAGCTTGACATGGTTAAAATGAAAAAAAGAATTAATGCAAAATTGGAAGCAATATCGAATAGTGCAGCAAACGAAAAGCCAAAGGAAAACCCAAAAGAAGACGAGTCTCGGCAGGAGATTGCCCACCATGAACAAACTATTCAAGAATTACAGAGCAAAATTACATCATTAATGAAGTTGTACAATAAAAAACTTGAATAAAAAGAGCAAGTCATCTCATCTCTAGAGGAACAAATAACAAAGGCACAGTACAAACAATCGACTCTGACAAAAGAATTGGCTGATATCACACAGGAAAGAGACTCATTGATATTAGCATTTTCTCTAATTATCAATGATAAATCTACTGGGCAAGATTATGAATATACAGCTGCAAAACTTTCAAGAAACCAAAACAAAATGTAAAAAATGTCAAATCTACTGGGAAGCCCGCCGATGTTGCTACTCTGTTTTAGAAGATAACATAATATTAGACCCTAATGAGAACAATGTTGACGAATTGAATGAATCGAAGCATAATGAAACACAGCACAAGGAAAGACCAGTACATCGCGACAATGCAGCGGGGAAAAGCAAAGGGAAAGGCAGAACTGTTACACTCTAAAAACATCCTGGTTAAATTTAACCAGGACGTGGTCAAGTCTTAACCAGGATTTGAATCAATATGCCACAGATGTAATCCTGGTTAATTTAACCAGGAAATCCTGGTTGTGTATTTTGACCTAAATTCCTGGTCAAATTTAACCAGGTCGTATTGGTTGCAGTTTGACACGTAAAGTAGTTAAAGTGACCAGGATCGATGTTAAAATGCTTCCAACCAGGTTCCTGGTCAAAAGTTATTTCAAAATCCTGGTTAAAATTTCAGCCGCCATGCATTATGAAATATTAATGATGGTTTCTTGCACTTCACTTGGTGGAATTGATATTAAAATGCTGTTTTTTAGGGTTTTGTAATCCAAATGAGTATATATATACAGCCAATTCAAAAAAGGTCGTTCTTTGCAAACCTTAAACTCTAAACCTTAAACTCTAAGCGCACAAATCTTAATGGGAGCACAAGTTTCAAGCCTAGTAGTTGAATATTGCAGCTATTTGTGAGTGAATTGTAATGCAGCACAAAGTCCTCTGGTATGAATCAGAGGGTAGGGATTGAATTTAGCCTGCGAGCAGGCGCTCCGGCGAGTATGAGGATGATGAGGGTATTTGAGGGACAAAATTAACAAGATCGGCTGACTCATTTTTGGCACAATATCGAATTTCGCAACGATATGACATCCGTGACAAATTACTGTAAAAGATGCGCTCATTGCCATTTAATCAATGTGTTTACATGAAAATTTGACAGAAAATTTATTCAGCAGACAAACACTAACGACTGTTTGGAGATGCCGACCTACTCAAAAATGGACTTACTCAAAAATAGAAGGTAATATTATTAGCTATGTAAAAAGTGTATTATGTATTATCATTTACATGTAATGCACCTATCAATGCATGTTAAGCCCCAGAGGGGGGGGGGGAGGCTTGGCATATGGGGGGTATTTCATCATCAAGTTAGGGCAATTTGAACCAAAATGACTTTTATTAATATAGTATTTATTGCAATTTATTGCAAAATGGTGGGGTATTTGACCAATATTTATTGCCAAGACAGTGGGGCATTTGATTGAAAATTTGCTAAAGAAATAAAATGCCCCACATATGCCCGACCCCCTTCTCTGGGGTTTAACATTGACAGCTGCATAATTAATACATGCTGCAATATAAAGCAAGTATTATGACCACAGTAACTTATAATTAGTCTTATCTAACATTGAACAAATAAATACTGTATAGAGATATTGCTGTCCTTATGAGTTATGGAACAAAAGATTATTCCCAATGAGTCTCAATATAAACCATTATAATAATTTGTTTAAGGCAGCCCTCATTGCAATAACTGCTGGCGAAGTCTTGCCTTTCAGTTTGTCCTCGATTCCATACAGCACTTTTTGAATAAACTCCCACGTTACAGCACACTGCCATGGGTAATGTACATCTAGAATGTAAAAAAGTTTAAAGCAGACATCAACTGCTTTAACAAGACTGGGCTGCTCCAAGCCTTGTCTATCGACAGCCACAAAAACTTGATTGGGACTCTCTCGAGCATCAATAGCCAATATAAATGGAGATTGACTGGCTTCCTCAAGTAGCTTGGGCATGTTTGTACCAATCTATAAATTATCAAAAAATCATATTCATTTGGCAACTACAGATTGCTTTATTTTATGGGAATACTGGCCATGCAATGCCTATTGGACTGACGGCATTGCCAAGTGGACATATATGTCGAGGCCCTGTTTACACTTTCAATTTTTGTTTTCCAGTGCAATTATCGTATTTTGAATACACGAATTGTGAATTCCTGAGAACATGTTAGTTTATTTATTTGATCATTCACAATTCATCTGCTCATTCATATCCATCAGAAGAAGGAAACTGCACTAGAAATAACTGCAAGTGTAAACAGCTAGACCTTTCCATCCATATATGCAGGGGAGTGACTGAGACAATAACCTTCAGCATAATTTGGAAGTTAGTTTGACTTGCAAGTTTAACATCCAAAAATGATCTCATTGCTTCGTCAATGCTGCATCTTTTTTTCCCATTCCTTCCAGTAGGAAGGATACAAGGCAGTAGGCTTATGGCAATGTTCATCTTTTGTTCATCTAAAACAATTTGAATTTTTTCTTTTAATTTTAAATAATCTGTTACCTTGTGACAGTTAAATGTGGACTAACATGCAGTTGCACTACAACACCAATCTTAAGTAAAGACATGTGCTAGTGAAAGAACTATACATGTATACTGATGAATTAACTGATAGGGTTGCACTGCACTGTCCCTTACAAAAATTAAATAATCTGTTGTTAATTTTAATAGACATAGTAAAATAATACAGCAGGCAAATTAGGTTACACATTGTTTGCATGTGCTAAACATTACAACAATTGACCATTTGCGTAATAGACTAAATTTTGATCTCAACAAAAATTTCATTACAGCTTGAAAGAGCATCATAAAATTAGTAATATTCCAAAGTTTCGTTGCAAAATGTTGTAAAATGCAGAAAATATAGCCTTGCGAAATTTGCAATTTTCAGTCATTTTAGATTACAAACTGGAAATTGACAGCCTCGAAGGGTTTGGGGCTGTCAATTTCCCATTTGTAATCTAAAATGACTGAACATTGCATATTTCACAAGGCTATATTTTCCGCATTTTACCACATTTTGCAACGAAACTTTGGAATATTACTAATTTTGTGATGCTCCTTCAAGCTGTGATGAAATGTTTATCTAGACTTGTTTAGTTCAAAATTTAGTCTATTATGCAAATGGTCAATTCAGCTTGTTTAGAGATAAAACTGCATACAGATTGTACAAAGGCTGAGGATGCATAATTATGCAGATTTATCTACATACTGTATAAGAGGGTCGTGAAGGGGGAGGGGGTCCTAATCCCATTTCCCAGATTTTTTTTAGCAAATCCCATGACAGGAACATTATTTAAAATAGATGTTTAAATGAGACCGGCACAAAAAATACTCAAACCGGTCTGAAGGCATTCCGCCTGCCACCCCATAGATATCTTATACAGTACCGCTTGCGTATATCTTAACATACGATACGCGTATGATACTCGTGAATATGTGTATCACACGAATACGCGTATCACGCAAATGCGCGTATCACACGAATATGCATTAGAAACAAATATTAGGGCGCTAGAAAAGTAATAAAAGATGTGTTTTATATAGCGCACTGCAAATACGCATATCATATACACGCTATTATAATTCGCCTATTAATTCCGATACAGGTAAACTGCACATACACGTATATTGGGAGTTCTAAACAAAGCTATATACAATACAATATTCAATAAGCATCAACCTATTGTATAGGTGCTGATAATAGTAATAATTGTTGATTAAATAACTTGGGCCATCGCCTGTTTTGTGAACATTACTTTCAGATTGTTTGTAGATACAGAGACAATGCTGTTACAATTTTCTCAGGACCTATATTCTATAGACTATCTAATTAAAACGTCGTGCATGGTGTCTTAAGCAGCAGCGTAATCGGCTCTATATTGTATACATACATACATAAATTTATTTAAGCACGCTGGCCTCAACAACTCGGAGCCGATTTCCATGAGGGGCATGATTTGGAGAAATATACAGTACAGATAAACATTAAAAATACAAAAACAAAGAAAGAAGAATTACATATACAGTAGGCAACAGGATGAGCCAATTTTAAGTGTTTGCCTGATTAATAGTTCTTGAAAAGAACTTAAAGATTCCGCTACTTTTACCTCATACGGTAAATTATTCCATACTACCGCTCCGTTATATTTGAAGCATCTTTTACCAGAATCGGTATTCGGTTTAGGAAGAGACAAATCGGTTTCTCTATTTCTAAGATCATAGGTATTATCACATTCATAATTCAATCGAAAGGATGTTCTTAGATTTGGTGCGGTGTGGTTATTCAGAGAGAGCACTTACTACCTGAACAGAGTTTTCTTGTAGTGCCTATGCGACAATTTTTTTATGATTGAATTGCAAAGTTCATTTAAAATCATAATATAACTTAAATTGTTTTCTAAAACTTTGTATTCTTTCCTCTTTTCGACTTTGTTTGATATACAAATGTGACTTAATGTCACACTGCATAATGCGTTTTTAGAAAGAAAATGTTTCCTTGCCAAACATGACATTGAAAGTGATATACATTAAGAGCTACCATGCAAAGCGATCATTAATTTAAGCGATCATTCATCTGTAAATTTGAGATAATGAGAATTTTAACAAGCTACAACACAGTCCTTCTGTAAAACACATTATGCAGTGTGACGTCATTTAAGTCACATTTGTATATCAAACAAAGTTGAAAATCTTGACATACAGGAAAGATTACAAAGTTTTCGAAAACAAGTTATATTATGATTTTAAATGAACTTTGCAATTCAATCATAAAAAATTGTCGCATAGGCACTTTAACTTAAATATTTCGTTTTCGAAAAGCAAGTGAATATTTATTCTTGAAACTGATGTTGCATTTTTGTAGTGAATTCGGAGACACTAATCATAGACAATTATCGAAGGAATGGACTGGAAACGCAGGCTATAAAAGCAGACACGACAGTCCGTGATATGCTTTATTTCGAATCCTGTAACTTTACTTTAAATCGACTTCAGGAATTAGTATTTACAACGAGAACAGAAATGTGGATGCAACTATTGATTTTTCAAACTTTTCCGAGGGGTAAACGAGACTGAAAATCACCATTGAATGTCTTCATAAAATATTTTAACAATATAGGTATATACATGACCAACAATATTTATACAGAAATAGAAGAAATACTTAATTACAAGATTTATATAATACATAATTAAATGTTTTTAGTTTTGTGCTGCGTATTTCTTATATAGGAGTCAATGGTTTGGGTACAACGTGCCCACGTACAACTTAACTGCTCAGGCGTGTCCGGATAGTATTTGTACACATACTCCTGTATTTTGTTGAGTTTTTCTTTGTTAAGCTTTCCTTTCTTCGCCAAACCACAACAATTTCGTCCTTTCATTTCGTCCAAAGTGAATAGATTTCTGAACAAAACACCGGCGAAAGCTGTTGGGCCAGAGCTTTAAGTTTGATTGCTGCCAATTTGTCGTTGCTTACTAAGTCTGACGATGGTGGTGGTTGGGATAATGGCATGTCGGTTGCAGAGTTTTCGGGGACAGTTGATGGCAAAATATCGTTATCTTCTTCCGATTCCTGGTATGATGTACCAACAGTGGCAACAACTTGACCACCGTCACCAACAATTTCATTATGGCATAGTGGAATGTTGGTATGTTGCTGCTGGATTAACTGCTTCACATGTCCAGTCAACGAATTCAGGCTGCTCATGATCATTTTTTGGTTGTTCATGATTTCGTCGATTCTAGGATCGCTTCGATCTTGTTTGAAAGGAAAGGGATTATTGGATGATGAGGGATACAGAAGTGGATCTGAAAAAGAGGAAGATAAGAACTGGGGAACGTCCAAATTACGATATGTGCGGTAGTTCGTCGTAACAGGAGTACCCACCAGGAACGATGCTGTCCAAATCAGAGAGAGTGCAATTGCTGGCATTTGGTGTCGAAGGCACTATCAGATCTTCGCTAGCATTTGTTATCCCACCAGGAGCAATACTTGGTGTCGTCGTTAAAGGAGCCAGATCTTCGCTAACGATACTGTCCAAATCAAGAAGAGTGCAGTTGCTGACATCTGATGTCAAAGGGACTATCAGATCTTGGCTAGCGTTGGTTATCCCACCAAGAGCGATATTTTGTACACCACAGAGAGTGTTGCTGAAATTTGGTGTCGTCGTTAAAGGAGCCAGATCTTCGCTAATAGTATTTACTCGACCTGGTAGATTGTTGCTGGCATTTGGTGTAGATGGTATTGTCGGATGGAGATTTTCTTTTGTTGCAGGTGTACTTGCCGTCGTAGGCAATGGTATATTTCCTACTGGGGAGAGTGGCAGTCGAGGAGCCTTCCCAACACCAATTACTGTAGCCTATATAATAATGGTTACAGAATTTCTTTTCACCAACTTTCGTTTCTCTTTCCGGCATATCTTCTTTCCCTTCAACTGACTCATTGTCACTGTCCTTTGCTGGTGGAGTAACATTGATCTCTGCAAACAGCTCGGCTCTCGACTTTACCATGCAGTCTCTCTCACTTAGCAAAGAGGAGTAATCGTCTGGAATGAAAACAAGATAGGATAATTAACTTTTTTGTTGACATCAAATCCTTGTTTCTTTTATCTGATTCTCATTAGAAATGTATCAAACAAGGTTTATTTCTAGTTATTTGTTAATTTTGAGTAAAATAGGAAAAACCCCAAATGTTATATTGTATCAGAAAGGGGGATAACTTAGATTTTGATATATAACGTTTGAATATCCGTGCAATATTTACTGAGCTATCGATGTTTTAAATCGAATAAACATATTTCAAATATTATCTAATATCAAATATTATATAATACCTTATTGAATTCTGATCGTTTAATTGGCTGTTTATGGTCACATGATATTGAATAGAAAATTCCATCTCCCAAGAGTGCAATGGAATACGTTCCATTACTATACGTTTTATTCCATTGCACTCTTTGTGTTTTCGATAAATCGCATCCGTCAAAATGCTTCTCGTACGGTGATCGCTGCAGTTTATTTTAACCCGATATTCGAAACTCAGTAAATGGGATTTAATGCAAATACGACTCGTCAAAATGGCAGGAGCTTACAGTAAACCTTTTAATATTAGTCTATTTTGGTATTATATAAAACAAATAATGAATGTTTTTATTTGTGCAATGGTATGAATATTTTCATTCGGTGAAAGATGGAATGTTCCATTCAACTTGGCTGTCGCCTTGTTGAATGGAACATTCCATCTTTCACCGAATGAAAATATTCTTACCATTGCACGAATAAAAACATTCATTATTTGTATATTATTTGGTTAAATTTGAGTATTGAAATCCTGAAATTGAAATTGTTAATTTTTGTGGAAAATGGCAATTTGTTTTCATATTAATTTGATCAGCCGTGTTTCTCGATTTTTTTACTCATTCTTAAAGCGTGCGCCACATTCAAACGTTTGTATCTCACGTAATATTACATGAAATTAAAATAATCAAATTAAAATCTAAGTTAGCCTTTCCTCAATACAATAAAACTTATTTGAGTGGAATAGCTTATATAGTTTTTACCTTACATAAAATCAAACACCGCAAGCTATTTTTGGGACACCCGGTATATATATATAGTTTTTTTTTGGGACACCGGCCGGTATAGATCTCAGAACGCGTCATTTAGATGCACTACTGACATTTAGAAAAAGACGAAGGAAATTGTAGTATAGTATAATTATAGACTATAGTAATTATAGTTGGCCTATACAGTGTGTATCAAAATAATTCGAATCCAAATTTGGCGTGTAATAACGCAGAATATATTTGACAAATTCGTTTGGTTTTTACACCATTGTTAAGTTAATTTATGTACTTTTCAAATGACATGTTGTACGCGTCATTTAGTTGGAAAATGAAGGAGTATTGCTTTGACAAAAATATAGTATTGATTTGAAGTGCCGTCGGATCGACGATTGGGAATAGTTAGCTTTTATCATGTTTCATGTATACTAGTAACATGGAGTACAAAGTCTCGGAAAATATGAGTCCAACAAAGGAGGAATAAAAGGAGAACACACACTATCAAATAGGCAAGTAAATTTCATTTTAAAATTTATATTTTACGACATATTTTTACTATAATATACAATTAATATAATATAATATAATATAAATTTATACTGTAAGTGAGTAAGTCTATACTGACCCTTGCGAGATTGGGCCGCCTGTGGCCCAACACAAAGTTTTGTTACTTATTATTGTACACACGGGAAACAACAATTAAGTGTTGTTGTTTGTGACAATAATTGAAGATTCTAATCGCGCAAATTTTTTATGAGCGACTGTTCATCGTTAGTTGCAAGCGACGGTACAACATATGAACATTTTTCCGACTGTGACCGAATGTGCAACGATATATTTTTCAAAGTTGTTATCAATTCCTAAAATTTGTTTATAGTAAAACGGCCTGCTCAGCAATCACTACTCATAATGATTTCATTTAGAGATGCAGTTACCAGGAAAGGAACTGATTCTAAAATATGTAAATTTAAAAGCATTGGCTAACAGAATAAAGCGATGTGAAGACAAGGTATAAACTTTTATCATTGCTATTTGTTATAAAATCTTATAAATAAACCGATTCAACAATAATTTTGCCTTGAATTTGCATATTGTATGCTGCATGTTTATATTTTATTTTTATAGTATAAAAATAAAATTGTAATAGTATGAAATAAAATACATTTCTTTTTATTGACCAGTACTTATTTAATGTCTTCTTCATCCAGTGGTCAGAGTGAATTCATACTTCTAGCAAGCAAATATTTGACAAGCAGTCTGGAATAAGCACAGGAATAAGCACAATAAGCCATTTTATAGTAGCAATATGAAAAGTTTTTTTCTTTTTCCATGACTTTTAATGCATCAGCCAAATCCAAGTGTGCCCATCCCCCTCGCCCAGCCATTTTCCTGTAAAGCACATCCGGGGGGTTGGGCATTTCCACTCGAACCTTAGCCCCGGCGGGGCATTTGAAATTAAGGATTTGGAGGTTTTGCGATCACTGATAACTTGATAATAATATAAAACAAAACACTTCTATCTGCAACTTTTACAATCACTGATAACTTGATAATAATTTAAACCAGTCAAGTTGTAGTTTCAATAGAGAATAATACATGGGTGCATGGAAATACCAGATTTATTTCGAGTGTTGAACATGATATCTCACAAGCGAGCGCAGCGAGTGACGTCCATCTCATCGAGCATCAGATTGCAGAAGTACCAGCACTTGCAAGAATTGTAAAAGACGATACATCAATTTGTGATGTTCCCAACGACCCACCAAAACCTGAAGCAGGACTGACAGCGAGTAAAGAAGGTGAACAGGGGATTATATATCCTATTGTGCTTATCGAGATAGACGGTGTTAAAACCCATGCACTGTTGGACACTGGGTCTGGCAGTTCATACGCCTGTGCGAAACTGATAAGTGCACTGAAGAAGAAACCAAACAATGTGAAGACAAGAAGAATCGAAACGATGCTGGGTTCTACTACAACTAAAGTTGAGACTTGTACAGCTAAACTGTCTTCTGTTGATGGGAAGTTTGCGAAGGAGATTGAGTTGTCGAAAGTCCATAAATCAGAAATCATGATGGTCAAGAACCCAAATTATGAAAGTCTACTTGCAAAGTACAATCATCTCAATGGAACCAAGATAGCAGACGGCGATGATAGAGAACAAATCCCAATCCATGTCGTACTAAGTGCCGGCGAGTATGCAGCAATCAAGACGTCAACGCCTCTAAGAATTGGATCCCCTGGGCAGCCTGTGGCCGAGAAAACACAACTGGGGTGGACAATTATGTCGCCAGGCCAAGAGGATTAAGAGAGTCGAGTGTTTGTGACACAATCAACATTAACAGATTACGAACAGCTCTGTGCTTTAGACGTGCTAGGACTAGCAGGTTCACATGAGAATGATCAGCAGGAGGTGTATGAAGAGTTTAAAGAGCAGCTGGAAAGAAACGATGCTGGGTGGTACGAAACAAAATTGCCATGGCGTAGAGCAACCATCCTACATTACCATCGAATGAGAGAGGGGGCAAAAGACGATTAGATCACTTAATTCGCAAACTAGAGAAGAATTACCAGTACTCAGAGTATAACAATGTATTACAAGATCAGCTGCAGAAAGGGGTAATCGAGATTGCACCAAGAGAACCAACTGGGAAAGAGTTCTACATCCCCCACAAGGGTGTAACAAGAAAGAATGCTGAGAGTACGAAGCTGCGCGTTGTATATGATGCATCGGCGAGAGAGAACGTAAATCAACCATCATTGAACGATTGCCTTCACTCGGGACCACCCCTCCAGAATCGCTTATGGGATATCCTAGTCAAGTCGAGATTCTATGCAATCCTTCTTACGGGTGATTTGCAAAAAGCATTCCTTCAGATACGAATTAAAGAGCAGGAGAGAGACTCTTTGCGGTTTCACTGGAAAGAGCCAAGCAGTGATAACCTGATTGTTTATCGGTTTACGAGAGCATTATTTGGTCTGACTTCATCACCCTTCCTCCTCGCTGGGGTCCTGAACCACCACCTTGACCAATGGAAAGAGAATTACCCCGAAGTTGTTAAAGAAATTGATCATAATCTGTATGTGGACGACTTTATGATGGGTGGCGTGACAGTTCCAGAAACCAGAGAGAAAACCATAGCTACAGAAGTTTTCGAAGATGTTGCATTTTCAATTCACAAGTGGCACTCAAATGAATCAGTTGGAAGGCGACGAAGCTGCCCCACGTGACGAGAATTGTGAGGGAACATATGCTAAGCAGCAGTTGGGAGGAACCGAAAACCAAGAAGGAAATTTACTAGGACTACCCTGGAACTGAGAAAAGGACACACTCAGTGTTAAAATGAGCGCAGCAGACTGTTCATCAAAGAGATCAGTACTATCAGAACTTGCTAAGATTTACGACCCCTTGGGTTTAGTCTCCCCATCCACACTAGTCGCCAAGTTGCTTTATCGGGAAATCTGTGACGCAAAGATATCCTGGGATGAAACTTTACCTGACACCAATCTGAAAGTGTGGAAGAAATGCAAAGAGTTGCTACAAAAAAGTTTCATCATACCTTGTTCCCTCGCGCCACATCGTCTCCAGATCTCAGAGATATGGCTCCACGCGTTCGGAGATGCAAGCTCAAAAGGAGTGTGTGCTGTAGTTTATGCGGTGGTCCACCAACAGGAAGAAGTAACTCAATGTCTTGTGTGTGCTAAATTCCGCATAGCAAAACGGAACTTGACTATACCCCGCTTAGAACTGATAGAAGGTCATATGGCGGTCAATCTTGTTATCAACCTAAACGCAGCCCTAACCATCCCGCTTATCCACATTCACTGTTGGCTAGACTCAACCGTGGCGCTATATCGGATAAAAGGGAAAGGTGACCACCGACAATTTGTGATGAATCTGGTGCAGAAGATACGACAGCATGGCGAAGTGACATGGCATCATGTGCCTACAAGAGAGAATCCCGCTGATCTAGGAAGTAGGGGAGATGACGTTAAGGACAACCAATTGTGGAAAGAAGGCCCAGCTTGGCTGAACGATCCATCCAGATGGCCCCAAGACGTGACACTAGTTCCTGATGAGCAGACTAGAGCAGAAGAGAAGGTGAAAGTAAAGAACGAAATCGCAGCAGCGACCGTTATCAAGTCAGATGTCTTTGATGAGCTACTCGAAAAATACCATCTCCCGAAAGTATTGAGAATTCTCGGTTATGTTCGACACTTTGTTTCAAACTGCAAACGCCAAACCGAAGAGAAAGTGACGGGTCCAATTTCTACTGATGAGGTTGAACAGCAGGAACTCTGGTGGATTAGACAAGCACAGCAAGCAGTTCAAGATGATGCCCAATTTCGAACAGATCAACTGCGATTGAACTTGTTGCAGAACGATTAATAAATAGTTGAGTGTTGCGGGCGAATCAGTGGCGAATATCCAATCTATGAAAGTTGTTCAACAAGCCCACATTTCAACTCTACACGGTGGCGTTGGGCTCACCATGGCAAAGGTGCGTGAACGGTTTTGGTGTGTCAGTTAGTCAAACGGATTCGGAGGAAATGCAATGGCTGCAAACGAGTTCAAGTGAAGGCGTATCATGTACCACCTCCAGGGAAACTGCTGAAGACTCGTACCGAGGGTGACGTGCCATTTCAAGTGATAGGCGCAGACTTCGCCGGGCCGATAAGATATCAACACGGAAAAAGATGGAAGGGAAAGCCTACTTAGCCATGTTCGCATGCAGTCTGACCAGAGCGATTCATCTGGAACTGGTAACATCATTGGAGACAGGAGTTTATCGCCTGTTTAAAGAGATTCATCGCTAGACGTGGCAGACCCAAGGTAGTGTACTCGGATAATGGAGCTACCTTTCAGGCGACAGCTAAATGGTTACAGCGTGTGAGAAACGACGAACAGTTTCACAGTTTCTTGCAAGTTTTGGTATCAAATGGCATTTTAATCTAAGTCTGGCCCCCTTATGGGGGGGGGGGGGCAATTCGAGAGACTTATAGGCTTGTTCAAGAATGCGTTCTACAAATCCGTCGGTAACGGAACTCTGAAATGGTCTGAGTTGGAGGATGTCATACTAGAGGTAGAAGTAGCGTTAAATAACCAACCGCCAACATATCTCGAGGATGACATTGAATTACCAGCTGACACCTAACTCGTTGTTACAGGTCAATGCAACGTACGTTCCTGAAGAAGAGGCACATCACATTGCCGAGAAAGATTTGAGAAAACGTGCAAGGTTCCTTCGAAGATGCAAACAAGCAGCATGGGACAGATGGAGTTGTGAATATGTCCGTGGCCTGCGTGAACAACACAACCAAACTGGAAACAAGAATGCTGTGCATCCGAAAATCGGAGAAGTCGTGATTGTTTGAGAAGAAAACAAACCGAGGAATATGTGGAGAACTACTGTTGTGACAAGACTAATTACGGGAAAGGACGGAGTTGTACGGGGAGCAGTGGTGAAAACAGGCAAGGGTACATTGCAGAGAGCAGTCCAACATTTATTTCCCCTTGAATTGTCTTGCGATTTAAAAAACAACCCACAACTGAACCCTGATGCCACAGACTTCCACCCAAGACCAAAGAGAGCCGCTGCAGAAGCTGCAAGAGTTGCTATTAGAGAACTTGCTGAGAACGAACAGTCGGACTAGAACGATGTTCAAAGTTGAGAATAAAGTTGGAACTGATGACCATAATTACATTACTTTAGTGTTTACATTTGTGTTATAAAGTCTGAGAGTGCATGTATGTTTCGGACAGAACATACATGGGGGAGAGTGTCGGAGACTTTACCTCTATAGTTAAAATAGTATTAGAACATGTGAACTCGACGTGCGATAGTTGATATATTGTTTTCCTTTAAAACAGGAATTTTTGTTATTGTTGTGAGACTTTGACTGCGAAACCATTGTAAAAATGTGAGACGAGAGTGAGTGATTTGAGATATTATATATAAAAAATACAACTAGTGATTTGTTGGTGATACTTAAAGCGAAATTTCCAACACCAGTATTATTAACATACTTAACAAAATCTCCAGCAGCATACTCTTCGATTGTGACAATCCCATTTGTTTCTTTAATTGTTCCCAAAAACACATCAACATAACTAAACGTTAGAAAGTTTGTAGTCATTTGTAACATTACATGACAATCTTATATATGATGGCCATATATATATTGCTGGTATTTTGGCATTTACTTATTGCAGGAACATTTAAGTACATGGTACGTATGTAGAGTGAAGCAATACCTGCCCACAATTTTAATTAAAATATACACAACAAAAACAGAATCTGAAGATTGGCACCTCAAAACCCAAGATATATACAAGATATTACAAACTCATTCTTGTATTGTTTTAAAACACTTCTATTTTTGGATTCAAGATGCTAATCTTCAAATTATGTTTTAATTAAATCTGCAACATATTTGGACAAAATGCAGAATGAGATTATGACGGTAATCCCATATTAACTTACATGGAGTTTTGGGGGTGGGGGCTGATGATAGGTGAAGTTGTTTTTTGGAGGTACTGAATAGCAGACATACTGTAGTAATAACCAACACAGAACTGTTAAATTGGTCCAAAACTAAATTCATCTACAAACAATAATACAGTAGGTCCCTCCAGTGTAAATGGTGAAAAAGTCTGAAGATGCATTTTTCCTCAAGGTTATGCTGCCATTTTCGTAAACTTATTGAGCATGTTTTATTAACCTACCTGAAAGCATTGCCAAATACTTTTTCATTTCCATCCTTTTGCACTTTTGCAGAAATTTGTGCAGCAAAATGTTTGGAC